TTTAAAATCCTTAAAATTAAAGAGTAGTTACTGAATATAAATTCCTCTTGCATATGAAGAGCTAGAAAAATACTTTGAGACTACTAATTATGCTGTTTGCTGGAAATTCTCTACATGTTTGTAAAATGCAATGAGAAACTATTACTTCACAACTGAAGAAGAGTCGTCCCTAGTTTCCTTGTTACCCAGATGATTATTTACAATGCTTTTGAGGCCTGAAGTCCTTACTTTTTAAATAAACAGACGATCTTGCAGCAAAGTGGGTAACATTTTCTTAAGCTGTTCATGCACAAGCACTGTTGACAGTGCTGTTGGGGAAAAAATTACTGAGAAGGTTTTGTTTTGTTTTCCCCCTCCAAAGGCTTTGGGAGTTTCCAGTCAAAATGACCGATCAACAATAAAGAAAAAAATTAAGGATATTAGAAAAACACAAGAAAAACTGGAAAAGCAGAAGGAAAAGGTTCAAAAGAAGGAGAGAGAAGTTCGCAAGACTGGCAGAGTGGTGGCCACTCTGGAATCAAGCTGCTAAAGTGAGAGCTGTGTTTTAATGCAGACTTGCCTCATCCTGAGGAAGTTCAGCAGATTTGTATATAATTGTACAATTGAGGGAGGAGGGAAAGTGCAACAGTTTAATGTGGTAGGTGGTTTTTTACTTTTTAATTGTGGTCCCTCCCCATTACAACCCAATAAAATGAAATAATGTTTTCAGTATTTTTATTCCTAGTTGACTCTGCCTGTACTAATAGACAATAATTTAACTTTCTGCCTTAAGTAACATTTCTGCTTCTAAGACCTCATATGCCCTTTTCATTGAAATTGATGTTTGTGGAAAGTAGAATACTGTATTAAAAATCATTCCAGTATTAGTCAACTAGCATTTGATAGAGTTGAATCTGATAGAGGGACAATAGAGAAATCCTGCCAACAAGTTCAGTCTGTGACAGTCTGTTTATCTGTTGCCACTAAAGATGTATAGTAAAAATTGAGTTTAAGGAAACAGTAATGTCAAATTAATTTAAAAAGAAAGCATGTATTTCAAATTTATGGATTATTTTGTTTAAATTCTTGTATTTCTGGGACTTCATTCAAAGTTCACTTTAGTAGCACATTGTTTTTGAATTCTATGTGTTGCAATTTACTGAGAAAATAACAAGAAATCCTAACTAGTTTTCACGAACTACATATACTAAGCATAACAGTAAGTTTTCTGTACACTACCGTATGGTGTTGGGACAAGGTTTAAAACTATAAATAAGATCCTTTTTAACCTATTTTTCCTAAATAATACATAGTTTTATAGATTTATGCTATGAATAAGATCAATTTGCAATACATGTATTTCTCTTTTCTACCTGCTACAAGATTTTTGTGGACCAAATTTATATATTTGCTAATTTTAACCAATACTGTTTTTCAAACTTCAAATACCGAGGGAAG